AGTTATGGATAGATTAGTAGGAAAATATCAATGACTGCTGTAATACATGGTGGTATCTTCAAAGTGGTTTCTCAGGAAGACGAGGTGGACAACTTGATGTTTTGCTGTATGTGTAGACTCTGAAACGATCGCCACCATCAAGCTAATGAACGTGTCACTGCCTCAGCTAGTTTCCGTGGTGTGTGGTGAGAGTTAAGTGCTCTGCTTATCAAACCCCACATATACAGCTGCTGCTGTCATCGCCATACCGTGCAGCACATCTCCAGAAGTCATTCATCTTCATTTGTTTTTCGGTATTCTTTCCGCTTCTTATCCTAGGTAATTTCAGGTGACCTACCTTTGAGTTTGCCATTTCTTTCTCCTGCCGCAATAGATTTTCATTTTGGTTACCGTATTTTTTAGCTCCTAATTTCTATTAGGTAAAGGTAATTTCTGTCTTTATTGATATGTACCTTCTTTTGGGTGACATCACTCTAGTTTCCTTTAGTTCTTTGCTCGTGGTTTCTTTTTACCTCTTTCAGGCAGTTGATTTAATCTTTGTCTAGTCTGTCTTTCTGTTTTTCTTTCTTTTCCTTCTTTCCTTCTTTCCTTCTTCCTTCCTTCCCTCTCTTCCTCTCTTCCCTCCCTCTGTCTCTTTCCGTACTGGGGGTTGAATCCAGGGCCTTCACACTGAGCTACAATTCCCCAGCCCTATTGTATTTATTTTGAGACAGGACCTTGCTAATTTGCTAAATTGCCCAGTCTTGGTTTGACTTTGTGATCCTCCTGCCTCAGCTTCCCAAAGTGCTGAGATTACAGGAATGCAACACTATGACAGGCTGACAATTTCTGTATACGTCTTATTTTCCTGTAAATGGTAACAACTTCTTGTTTCTTTGTTTTGTTTTCTGACCAGGGTCTTGCTATGTAGTGCAGACTGGCCTTGAACTCACTTATGTAGCCCAGGCTGGCCTTGAACTCAGTGCAGTCTTCCTGCCTCAGCTTCCCTAGTGCTGGGATTATAAGCATGTGCCACCATGCCCACCTAATTTCTTGTTTCTTTGCATGCCTCAGAACTTTTTTTTGAAAACTGGAAATTTTGAATAATGTGAAATGACAGCTCTGGAAATCAGCTGTTTAGTGACTTTTTAAAACTATTTTTTAGCCAGGAATATAGCTCAGTGTGACAAGCACTTGCCTGACAAGTTCAAGGTCATGAGTTTGATCCCCAGTACCAAAAAATAAAAATAAAACCATTTTTTAGAAGTTATATTCACTATTTAGCCATTAGAGTTCTTTTTCTGTTAGCTTAGTGGTCAGTCAATTATTTGACAAAGATTTCCTTAAACACCTAGGGCAAAAAATATAAAGGACTGCTAGTATCTGCAAGATGGCTCGCTTTGGACACTCCTTCCATCATATTCAGGCTGTTTAAAACTCTGCCTTAGCCAGATGTGGTGACACATCCCTGTAATCCCAGCTACTCAAGAGGCTGAAGCAGGAGGACTGAAAATTCCAGGTCAGCCTGGGCAATTTAGTGACACCTTGTCTCAAAATAAAAAGAAAAAAGGACTGGAGGGGTGTTACCTCAGTGGTAGAACCTTTGGCTACCATGTGTGAGACCCTGATTTCAATCCCTAGCAGCAAAAAATGAAATAATAAAATAAAACAAAATTCTGGCCAGGTGGGTGGTGCACACTTGTAATCCCAGCACTAGGGAGGCTGAGGCAGGAGGACTGACATGAGTTTAAGGCCAGCCTGAGCTATGTGAGCTCAAGGCCAGCGTGTTAGTGAAACCCTGTCTGGGTGAAAAAAAAGAGAGAGAGAGAGAAAGACAAAACTCAAAACCCTGCCTTAGTCTTTATTTCTTTTTTTCTGTAGAACCTAAAGTCAGCCAGAAGTGAAAAGTTAAGGTCCTGTGGTCTTTTCTGAGCATATGACCAGCCTGGACATAACATGTTGCCTTCTGGATTTCCTTGTCTATGTAGAACTTTTCAAAATTATCATTTCTCCAATTACCTTTCCTGAGCTCTTCCTGTCCTAGCTTCCCTGGCTGCCTACTGCTTGCCCAGACTGTCATCGCTTGGCTGATACATCTGCCTCTCAATGCTTTCAGCAGACACCCCTGAGAAGCATTGTGTCTGCCTTGGGGAAACTGAGTCAAGAGAAACGAGCCAATCCTTCAGGTGGGCCAGACAGATCAAAACACAGAACCACGCGTCCGTGGGAATAAGGTCCACATGGCTCCCTCCAGTACCCACAACCAGACCAGGAGTGTGGGCTGCTCTCCACAGCTGCTGCTGAGCTTGGGCCAGGGCAGAAAGCTGGGAAGTGAGGATCCACAGCACTCTGTCTCTCCACAGTGCAGCAGCAGCTGCTCCAGTCAGGGTTCTCCTGGAGATGCTTTCCACAGTTCTGAAAAATTTCATTCTGATAGTTTTTCCAGATCAGTCATTGGTTTATGCAGAGTTCTAAAATTCCCTCCTCTGTCAGTTTCAGTGATACCACTCCTAGGTAGTTAAGTTTCATCTTATTTACAGCAATTGGAAGTGTGTCACTTCCTTAAAAATAAGTCATGAAAACAGAAGTTCAGAACTGGTGACAATCTTGGGTAATTATTAGTATGTAAGTTCTTCCATGAACTAGGTGTGTCATATGGTCAAAGAAACACTAGCTCCTAGAAATAAAAGAAACTCTAGCCACAAACCAAAGAATAGATTTTATGTGTGAATTGGCACATAAAGGACTCTCATTGGAATAGACATTCAGCCACACATATATTCAGAGGCACTAATTTCCTTCATAAAGCCATTTTTAGATAAGTTTGAGATCCATTTATGTTGGAAAATATGGTATGGAAGCATGTGTATTTTTTTCACTAGTACATCACTGGTGAAATAGGATCCTGATTTGAACAGTAATTTACTGTACCAGGATTTTAAAATTATTGAACAAAAATAATGGAAACATACAAAAATTTGGATTTTTAAAAAGTCTATTTTGGAAGAAAAATCTGGAATAGAATTAAGATCCAAAGTAATCTATAGTCTGAGCTAATTTGAATGAACAATCATATTTCTCAGTTACACTGGGGGGAAATGCCTTTGGATTTATGTTTTTAAAAATCCATAACTGGGGGCTGGGGATTTAGCTCAGCTGCATAGTGCCTGCCTGGCAAGCGCAAGGTCATGAGTTCGATTCCCGGTACTGGAAGAAAACAAAAACAAAACAAAACAAAACAAAAAAATAAATAAAAATCCATAACTGAATAAATATGGATAACAACCTGCATTCTGGCTCCATTTCAGGAAAAAGTATGGTGAAGAACTCAAGTCCACTGTTCCTGCCCCAAGCTTTAGGAAATTTGGATTTAAAAAAATTAACATCATTCTGGAAGGAAACCACGATATGCAGTTATGCTCAGAATTACATTTCTCACAAGTTTACATGAAAAGTTATCTTTCCGCATCATTTTGGAGGAAAACTTTGGATTAGACTTATATCTAAAAATTTCACTTTTGAGAAGGAAATGCTTGCATAGGGCTAAGTGCAAAAGAACTTTGGTCTAATTTTGGATTTGTAAGAAACAAAACCATGTTTTGGGGCCATTTTGGAAGAACATCTGGCATAGGTATGGCATACATCTCACAATGTGCCAGGCAGGGTAGCATGCCTGCACTCAGGAGGCTGAGACAGGAGGATTGTCATGAGTTCCAGGCCAGCCCAAACAATATAGTGAGACCCTATCTCAAAAACCCAAAATAAATAAATAAAATCTCACAATGTTAGTAAATTTTAATAAAAATATTTTCTGGCCATTTACTGGGAACAATCAAGCACAGGGACCACTATTTCCCCATGACCACTTAAGGAAATTTGGATCAAATAGTCTCAATTTCAGGGTATTCAGGAAGGAAAGCCTAGCACTGGAATTATGTCCAAAAACTTCACCTTTTGAGCCCATTTGATTGAAAAAAATCATAGTTTCAGGACATCTAGAAGAAAACTGTTGTATAACCAAAAAATACTCCATGATTTGAGTACATGAAATTGTAACTGGAGATATAGCTCAGCAGCACAGTGCCTGCCTGGCAAGTGTGAGATCGTGAGTTCGATTTCCAGTACCAAAAAAAAAAAAAAAAAGAAATTGTATTTTCTGTATATCTTAAAAGAAAAATGTGGCATGTGTTGTAGCTTCAACCAGCCCTCAAATTTACTCAGATTTAAATGAAAAATCATATTTCTAGGGAATCTGGGGAGAACTATCTGGCAGCCTGCCCTGTAAATCAAGTAAAAATGTAGACATATTTTATCTTAAAACCAACTAAGCCGGGCATGGTGGCGCATGCCTGTAATCCCAGCACTCGGGAGGCTGAGGCAGGAGGATCGTTGTGAGTTTGAGACCAGCCTGGGCTATGAAGTGAGCTCAAGGCTGGCCTAAACTGCACAGCGAGACTCTGCCTCAAAAAAAGACAAACAAAAACAAAAACAAAACAAAGTGAGCTCAAGACCAGTCTGAACTGCATAGTGAGGCCCTGTCTCAAAAAGACAAAAAAAAAAAACCAGTCTTACAGCTACACCTGAGATGATCTTTAAAGGCCACTTATTTTGAATAAAACCTCTTTGGACTGGAACACACTTGAAGAGGTATGGCTTAAGAATCTTCAAATATGGCAAAATATCTTTAGCTCTGCAACTAGAGAACAATCAAGGGTCCAGTTAACAGGACAGCTGCCATGGGCACCGGGAAGATCCAATGCTGAGGAGCACGACTGAGTCTGCACTCTGGTATCACAGAACTGATTGGGGCGTGGCTTTAAGCATCGTATCCCTGGTAACATGGTTATGTTACCGTAATTACTGCACACCAAGGTCCCGGATGAGCCATCATTATTCACATCGTGGTGCCCGAGACCCAAGGCTCTGGGAATAAAGAACTGAGCGGTCACAGCTGCATGACCAGGCCCTGGAATCCTGGGGACAGTGTGGCGGTAAGGGGACCCCAGGATAGGAGGACCAGGGACCAAAACCTAAAGAAAGCAATAAAGGTAGTTAGGGGTGGTCCAGAAAAGGCAACCACATAGAAATACAAGAGCTAAGGGAAAAGCAAGACAGGCAACTGCCTCAGGTCAAGTGAAGGAGATGCCACACTACGAAACTGGGCTGCAGGGAGCCATTTTCTGGGCGGTTCCCTCCTTCACCTGAAATCTCGGTCCACAGCCCACTCCCCACATGCAGGGCCAGGCCGTCCGGTTCCCGCAGGGTGACTCCGTCCTGTGTCTTGCCAAGGGACTGGGGTGCTGTGGGACAGCGGACTCGGGAGCACAAGGTATCTGCACCCTCCTTCCATCCTGTGAGGAGTGAACAAGGTACACAGCCAAGGCTCCAGATTTGGAAAGAAGCAGTTTATTAGAACAGAAGGCCACAAAACATGGGAAAGACCTTGCGGGGAGAAAGTAAACCAAGTCAGTGTCCTCTGAGCTCTCCCGGAATAGCTCTTTAGATCCCATTTCATGGCAGGGTAAAAATGTTGACTGTCAGTGCCGTGCACCACCTTCACTTTCAAAGCGAATCCCAGAGGTCAGCGCCCTGCCCGCAATGGGCCTCGGGGCCGGCCTGCGGTGGGGGTTTGTGGTGGCCGCACCTCGCCTTCCGGTGCCTGCTGAGCTGAGCCCGCTGCCTGAAGCCCTGCCCGCAGGCCGGGCACGCGTACGGCGGCCTCCCCTTGTGCGCCAGCTGGTGCGAAGCCAGGAGCGCCTTCCGGATGAAGCCCTGGCCGCACTCGCCGCACACACACGGCCTTGCTTCCGAGTGCGCCCGCCGGTGCCTGATCAGCGCGGGCCTGTCGCCGAAGCCCAGCGCGCACTGCCGGCAGGCGGACGGCTGCTCCTTCAGGTGCTTCCGCCTGTGCCGGATGAGCCCGGCCTGGTGGCTGAAGCCCTTGCCGCACTCCCGGCACACGTACGGCTTCTCCCCCGAGTGTGTCCGCCGGTGTGCCACGAGGTTGGACTTCTGGCTGAAGCCTTTGCCGCAGTCCTCGCACACCAGGGGCTTCTCCCCCGAGTGCGTGCGCTGGTGCCGGACCAGGTTGGACTGCTGGCTGAAGCCGCGCCCGCACTCCCCGCACGCGATGGGCTTCTCCCCGGAGTGGGTGTGGCGGTGCCTGTTGAGGTGCGACTTGAGGCTGAAGCCGCGGCCACACTCGGGGCACACGTAGGGCTTCTCGCCCGTGTGCGTGCGGCGGTGGGAGATGAGCGTGGAGTTCTGGCTGAAGCTGTGCCCGCACACCGCGCACACGTACGGCTTCTCCTTGGAGTGCGTGCGCTGGTGGTTGACCAGCGTGGTCCTCTGCCGGAAGCAGCGGCCGCACTCCGTGCACGCGTACGGCTTCTCGCCCGAGTGCGTGCGCTGGTGCGAGACGAGGTTGGACCTGTCGCTGAAGCCCAGGCCGCAGTCGCCGCACACGATGGTCTTCTCCTCGAGGTGCGTGCGCTGGTGCCTGACCACGGCCGACTTCTGGCTGAAGCCCTTGCCGCACTCGCGGCACACGTAGGGCTTCTCGCCCGAGTGCGTGCGCTGGTGGATGATGAGGTTGGACTTCTGGCTGAAGCCGCGCCCGCACTCCCCGCACGCGTACGGCTTCTCCCCCGAGTGCGTGCGCTCGTGGATGACCAGCGTGGACTTGCGGTTGAAGCCCCGGCCGCACTCGCCGCACACGATGGGCTTCTCCCCCGAGTGCGCCTTCTGGTGCCGGGCCAGGCTCTTCTTGAGGCTGAAGCCCTTCTCGCACACCCCGCACACGTACGGCTTCGTGCCCGCGTGCACGCGCTGGTGGCTCAGCAGGTTGCTCATCTTGCTAAAGCCCAGGCCGCACTCGCCGCAGTTGACCGTCCCAAACCCTAAGACCTCCATGCTCGTCAGCAACTTGTCTGTGACCTCAGGGGTCCCCGGCGGTGCTGAGCCAGCCTCCGCCCCCACCCCCACCCCGTGCAGGCCCCCGCCCAGCTGCTCCTGCAGTGGCCCGGAGAACACGCCCAAAGTCCTTCTCTTCGTCTTCCCAAAGCAAGGCTTGGTGCCCTCGCTGTCACCGCCCTCGGCCTCCACACCCCAGGCGGGCCCCTCCGAGGCTTGCGGCTGCTTCTCCCGGTCCTCTGGGTCCCCCGCGCGCAGAGCCCCTGGCAGGACAGGCCTTCCTGCGCACAAGCACGTCACCAACCAGGGGGGCTGGCCGCACAGCACGTGCTGCACGGGGATCTTCTGAGCCGAGAAATCTGGGGAGCAGAAAGGACCTGGCTGGAGCTCTGGCTTCGGTTCTGCTGCAGAGAGAAAAGCCCGAGTCAGAATGGATGCCTCTGAGGGCAGCCCCAGCGACTGTGCCTAAACAGTGCTGAGCCTCAATCCTGCCCTTCAAAAGCCCGAGAGTTAGGTGAGATCCGACCAAGTCGTCCCTTCTGGCCGGTCTCCATCTTGCATCTGCTGCTGCATCCAGAATACCCACTCCACACCACAGGCTACCAAGCATCACAGGCAGCATCCGGTGTGGGACTGCGCAAAAGTCTGTGCCGTCAGCACTCCGGTGGTTACCTCCTAAGTCACAACACACACCAGTGGAAGCCACATCCACAAACTGAGGCCTGTGCAGACTGAGGCCTGTGCAGCCACAAAACCCACTTCCCTATGGGACAAACGCACAACAGAGCAGTCGTTCCGATTGGTTGGAGGACCCTTCGTGCAGGAAGCACACGCTTAGAGAAAGTGCATGGACACCAGTGCTGGCCCGGCCCACAGGTGACAAGCGTGTACTCGGGGGTGACTGTGGGCCAGGCTTTCTATAAGGCAACGGGCCCACGGCAGCACACAACACAAACAGAGCCGGTGCCCCCATCCGATCTCTAAACTCTGCTAACATCCATAATTACTGTAAATCAAATTCTTCCCAGCAATCAGTGGGAAAGAAGGTGTTGGGCTGGGCATATAGCTCAGTGGTAGAACAACTGCCCAGCATGTGCAAGGTCAGGTTCAGTGACCAGCACTGCAACAAGGGGCCCAGGAGCGGGGTGGTGGAAGGACAGGAAGGGAGGGAGGGAAAGGTAGAAGGAGAGGAGAGAGAGGAAGAGAGAGGAGAGAGAGAGAAGAGAGGGAGGGAGAGAAGGTAGGGACTGAGAAACTAGTATCATTCTTACTGGATCTACTGAAATACTATTTTCTAAACCAATGAATGATAAAATTTAGAGCTGGGTATGCATCTGTGTTCCAGAATTATTCCCTCTGAAGCATTCCACCTGAGAGGCCGCCTGGCATCTGAGGGACCTTGGGTCTGGTCTCCCACCTGCCACCCTCCCTCCCTGCCCAGCCGCTGTACAACTCCCGCTCCGGTACTCAGGGCCACTCAGGGCAGCTGGCCCAGCAGCTCTCTCTCTCAGCAGTGATGCAACGCTGACTGTTTTCACTTATTTTTCAGAAGTTTATTCTCTGAAGAATAAACTGTCTGAGGTTCCAAAACTTAAGAGCTGACTTGGGATTCCTGCCTCGCCCCTGGGCATTTTCAGATGCCCTCTACAGGGTGTATCCCTCTTGACCAGACAGAGGGGCTTGCTGCTGACACCCCGAGTCTGCTCACACACCTCCAAGGCACTCCTGTGTCTGTTCTGTGTGATTTGGTGACAGTGACTTTGACACAGGAAATAACCCCGCCCCCACTGTGTGGGGACCAAGGCCTCCAACATGGATACTAACTTCTATGCCCAGGGGGAAGCGGTGGGCTTTTATCTACAGGAAGTAGAACTCAGAATTACAGTGGGCCCCTCAGAGAAATGTTAACATCCATATGGAGAACAGAAGAAACAGGAAAGCAAAATTTCAATTTTCCATAGGTCAGTCTTCTCAGATACTTGTAAAATGCCATTATGTGTACACTCTAGGACTCTTTAGTCTGAGAAACAACATAAAATATTACCAAATTAATTAATTCATTTATAAACTTTTTTGGGGGGACAGAAATGCATATCTCAGTATGCATTTCAGGCTGGCCTTGAACTCATTATGAAACCTAGGTTGGTCTTGAACTCGCAACTATCCCCCTGCCTCAGCCTCCCAAGTACTGGGATTACTGGTGTGTGTTACCATGCCCAGCAGTTTAAAAAGTATTTTAAATCTGCAGGTGCAGCCAGGCATGGTGGTGCACGCCTATAATCCCAGCCCTCGGGAGGCAGGAGGATCTTTGCAAGTCTGAGGCCAGCTTGGGCTACAAAGTGAGCTCAAGGCCAACCTAAACTGCATGAGAGACCTTGTCTCAAAAAAACCAAAAAAAAAAAAAAAATCTGCAGGTACTCCTGTACTTACAAGTTTAAAGAAACTAATGAGTACTGATATGAATTTAAAATTTAAAAACTTGCTGGGCGTGGTGGCACACACCTGTAATCCCAGCACTCAGGAGGCTGAAGCAGGAGGATAATTGCGAGTTTGAGACCAGCCTGGGCTACAAAGTGAGCTCAAAGCCACCCTGAACTGCATAGTAAGACCCTGTCTCAAAAAGACCAATAAATAAACAAATACATAGGGGCTGGGGATTTAGCTCAGCGGCAAAAAGCGCCTGCCTGGCAAGCGCAAGGTCATGAGTTCGGTTCCCGGTACCGGAGAAAAACCAAAAAAAATAAAATAAAATAAAATAAAATAAACAAATACATAAATAAATGAAATTGTAAAACTCAGTAATATCCAAATTCAAATTAGAAACTGAAAACTGAAGGTGTAGCTCAGTGGTACAGCACATGCTTAGCACACACAAGGCCCTAGGTTCAACCTCTGCACCAAAAGTAAGTAAGACAAAACAAAAATCAAACTCCCGATGACCTTAAAGGGCTGGTTTCTCAAGAAAGTCTTTCTTGCTTCAGCTAAAGCTCTAAATGAAAAGTCTGGCTAACTTCAGTCAGGAGCTCTGGCTACAAGGTTACACACACAGACCGAGAGGCACTCAGCGCTTATTATCTGCGTACAGAACTTGAACAGCCGCTCTATACTATAAACCCTATTTCAATCTCTCAAATAGCCTTTGAGTATTCCTTCCTTCTGATTGGTGTTACCTTCTCTCCCTAGCTCTAGCTCTTGTTATATTCTTGTCAATCTTTTCTTAATAAAGGCAACAAGAGAAAGGAACCCATAAACAAGGGGGACAAAGGCTGGAGGAGAAAGAAGGGAGACACCAGTGAGCCCTCCTGTGACTAAAGACCATCTGGAAGGGGCTGCACTGGCCAGCGAGTCAAGAGAGGCGTCCCTCCCTGTATCCCACTAGCCTGCTTTCCTCCCACTCACCTGGACAGATGGCCGGCGGACATTTTCTCTCTTCTCGCCACATTTCTTTCCCCTGCTCCAGCTGTGTGATGAGTTTTGGTTTAGAAAATGGAATTCCTGCTCATGTGAGAAGAAAACAAGTTAAATACAGCCTCTGGGGGCCGGGTGTGGTGATGCACACCTATAATCCCAGCACTCGGGAGGCTGAGGCAGGAGGATCAATGAGAGTTCAAGGCCAGTCTGAGCTACAAGTGAGTTCAAGGCCAGCCTGAACTGTATAGTGAGACTCTGTCTCAAATAAACAAAGAAACACAAACAAAAAGTAGGCTCTGGGGTCATGGGCCCACCTGAGTGAGGACGTGCAGAGGGTACAACACGGACCCAGGTCAGTGGGGAGGTAAGCTCCGTGAAGGCCCCCCAGCACCTGTCTATGCTGGGGAAGGCACCTCTACCAGTTAGAGAAGTTAACCTGGGAAGAGAGCCCTGACCTAGAAAAAAAGCCTAGAAATACTAGAAATACACACACACACACACACACACACACACACACACACACACACTGCACCACATGCACCTATGCATGCTCCTACCCATTTTCAAGTCTATAAATTCAGACCTTCCTAGGGAAACAACACCTTTGCTTTTCAGTCCAACCCAGGGCCCAAGTCAGTAAGCAAGAGAGCAGCCCACATGGCCCAAACTTCCCAGGAGCAAGCGCGTGCACATACCCAGAGATGCCAGGTGGCTGTAGGTCTCCAGCATCACTTCCCTGTACAGGCTGCGCTGGGCAGGACTCAGCAGGCTCCACTCCTCCTGGGAGAAATCCACAGCCAAGTCCCTGAACGCCATGTGTGCCTGGAACACAAGACACAGCGCACTCATCAGGGAGCCAGCCTGGCTCTCGAGGTGGACTTCTGGACCTTGAGCAGGGTGGACGCCAGCACTGCGCCTTCCAAGACCCTACGCCCCTGTCTCTACCCAGCCACGGCATTCAAAGTCCTGGGTGGGCTGCTTGGGGTATTCACACAAAAAGCAAGAGCCCTGAAGTTTTGGAACTTTAAATTCAGGCAGAAGAGCAAAAAAAACTCCAAAAAAGTAAACAATAAAGCCTAACATATTCTGAGTTTATGAATTTAGAAGATCACATAGCCTCACTCAGTGATGGCGAACCTTTTAGAGCTTTCAATGCTAATAGAGCCAGCTGCGGCACACATGCCATAGGTTTGCCACCAGCGGCCTAACCTAATCAACAGTGTTGAACCATTTGGGCGACTGAAGTTCTTATTATTCCAACACACAGACTAAACTTCACTGGTCCTTCCCCAAATCCCACAGCTGCGGCCTTCTTGGTTCTGACAGGCACAGGTGGGGTACAGGGAAGCACTCAAAACAGGTGTCTTGAGGCCACCTCTGCCACTAACTAGTGCCTCGGTTTCTCCACTCATGAGGTGTGGGTCACAGCACATTAAGCTTCCTGTCACATGCTGGGTACTCAAGAGGAACTTGGCCATTTAACCTGGAAACATCTCTATACCTGTCCTTGTCCCCTGCCCAGCTTTATTTTTATCTCCTCAGTACTGTTCAGAACGGAGGATGAGGCGCTGGAGCTGGGGCTCGGTGGTAGAGCTCTTGCCTTGCATGCACAAGGCCCTGGGTTCAATCCCTAGCACCACACACACACACAGAGACACACACACAAAAGACTTACAGAATGGAGGACGCACTGGGACGGAGCTTCCAACCCTGGGCCTGGGAGCACGGCCCAAGAGAAAGAGGGCACAGAGTGAAGAACAAAGTGGGAGGGACCTGGGTGAGGCAGTGCGGCAGTGTCTAGGGTCCTGCGAGCACAGCATGGGGGCCAGCACGGGCAGGGAGGGCTCTGGAGGGATGAAGCACAGGTACTGGCCCAACATGAGACAGGAGGAGCAGCCTCTGTGAGGTTTTTAATTTTTACACAGAACACAAATTTACTGTTTTTACCACCTCAAAGCACACAGTTCAGTGGCATTAAATGCATTCACAATCATCTCGAACAGATTCTCTGCTTTACCCTACTGAAGGCCTGGAACCTCAACAGTAACTTCCCATCCCCCCTGCCCCCAGGCCCCGGTCACAACCATTTCACTTTCTGTCTCTGTACGTCTGGCTCTACATGACTAAAGTAATTGGAATAGCAGAATGTATGTCCTTCTGTTTGGCTTATTTCACTTGCAGTTATCCAGGATTCATCCACTGCAAAAGCGCGCACTAAGCAGTATTTCACGGCATGTGTATGTACTTTATCCATTCTTTATCAGTGGACATGTTATCTGGCTGCTGCGAATAATTCTGCCACATACACTGGTGTTATGGTTTGTGTCTAGATGTCCCCTGCAAAGCCTCATGCAGTCATGGGATGGGCTTCTAGAGTTTTTGATTGACTCATAGTCCAATACTGGGATTATGGGTGTGACAGCTACATCCACCCCGAGGCAGGTAGCCTGGATATAATATAAGGGAGGGAAAGAGGCTTGCCCTCCGCTCTTCACTTTTTTGCTCTTGCTGCTTTTGCTGTTTTTCAGTCAGCTGTTGCTCTCTACCATGTGCCACTCTGCCTTGGAGCCAGCTGTGCTTTCCTTCCTTACTTCTGAACATCAGGTATTTTGTCTCAGCCATGAGAGAAAAGTAACAAGACAACTGTACAAATATTTGAGTTTTTACTTTTGATTCTTATGGGTAGACTGTATATCCAGGAGTGGAATTACTGGACCAAGTGGCAATTTGACATTCAGTTTTCTCTTTTTTTTTTTTTTTTTTTTTTTTTGGTACCAGAAATTGAACTCAGGACCTTACACTTGCCAGGCAGGCACTTGTGCCCTGAGCTATATCCCTGACCCTTCAGTTTTCTAATACTCTGTACTGTTTTCCATACCATTTCCGCCAGCAGTGTACAAGGGTTCTACTTGCTCTGCATCCTCACCAACACTGACTGCCTTCTATTTCTCTGTAACAGCCATGCTAATGATTACAAAGCGGTATCTCCTCTGGCCTTCGTTTCCATTTCTCTAATGATTAATGGTGGTGAGGATCTTTTCATGTGCTGACTGGCGGCTACTGGCTGGGTGTTGACTGTGGTCTCCAGGTGGTGCTATTGGGAAGCACTGGAACATGTAACAGTAGGGCCTAATGGGAGGAACACAGTCACTGGGGAGTGCACCCCCAAAGGGGGCTGTGGGGCTCCAGGCTGCTTCTTTCTGTTTGTCCCTGGCTCACAATATAAGCAGTTTTGCTCTGCTATGTGGTATTGCCTTATCACACACCCAAACCAATGAGGCCAACCAGACTGAAAACTCCAAAACTGGCAACAAACCTTTTTCTTTGTTAACTTGATTATCTCAGGTATTTCATTACAGTGGTGGAAAATAGACTGACATATTGGCCATTTGTGTGTCTTTATTTGAAAAAAAGGCTATTCAAATCCTTTGTCCATTTTTTAATTTGAGGTGTTCCTTTTTTGTTGAATGGTACATATTTTATATACTCTGGATATTAATCCTTTATCAAATATGACCTGCAAATATATTCTCTTCCTTTGATAAACAAAAGTCTTAATTTTTTTTTGTTTTTGAGACAGAGTCTCACTATGTAGCTCAGGTTTACTGTGTATCCCAGGTTGGTTCAAACTTGCAGTGATCCTCCTGCCTCAGCCTCCTGAGTGCTGGGATTATAGCCATGCGCCACCATGCCTGACCCCCCAAAAAGTCTTAAATTTTGATGGTCTAATTTACATTTTCTAGCCAGGCGTGGTGGCACATGCTTGTAATCCCAGCACACTTGGGAGGCTGAGACAGGAGGACTGTTGGGAGTTTGAGACCAGCCTGGGCTACAAAGTCAACTCAAAGCTGGTCTGAACTGCATAGCGAGACTCTGTCTCAAAAACATTAAAAAAAAAAAAAAAAGTCAATTAATAATTTACATTTTCTTATGTTGCCTATTATTTCGGTGTCATTTTCAAGAAATCAAATCTAGCCAGTAAATTTTTACATATGCTTTTAGGTAGATTTTACTTTCATTCATTCCCTGTAGATATACAGTTTTCTCAATGTTTGTTGAATACACTCTTTTCCACACATGGCACTCCTGTTGATTATTACTTGCCCATATGTGCAAGAGTTTGTCTCTTTGCTGTTGGTCTAGTAAGTCTCTCTGTATACCAGTACCAAAGTCAGAATTATTCTTGCTTTGCAGCAAATTTTGGAATCAGGAACTGTGAGTCCTTCAACTTTGTTCTTTTTTTTTTTTCTTTGTGTGTGTGTTTTTGAGACAGGGTCTTGATATGCAGTTCAGGCTGGCCTTGAACTCAACTCTGTAGTGGAGGCTGGCCTCAACTTGCAACGATCCTCCTGCCTCAGCTTTCTGAGTGCTCGGATTACAGGTGTGCACCACCATGCCCAGCTTAACTTTGTTCTTTTTCATGATTTGTTTTAAGTATTCAAAGTTCCTTGAGATTCCATGTGAAATTTAGGATGAATTTTTGTTTCTGCAAGACAGCACTCAATAGGTTGTGATTGAGATTGCCCTGAAACTGTGTATAGGTTTGGTAGTACTGCCATTCTGACCTCAAGTTTTCCAGTCCACAAGCATGTGATGTCTTTCCATTTATTTATGACTTTAGTTTCTTTCAGGGAGTTTTGTAGTTTATTTACAAGTCTTTCATCTCCTTGGTTAACTCTTAAGTATTTTATTCTTTTGATCCTAAAGTGGAATTATTATTTTTCTCATTTCTTTTTAGGATTATTTGTTAGTGTACAGATATGGAACTGATTTTTAAGTTTTGCTATTTTATATTCTCGATCTACCAGGAAATCCACGTTTTGTGTGTGTTTTTGTGTACGCATGTGATCTTTATGGTCTTCGATGGATAAGGTCATCTCTGCAAACAGGTAATTTTACTTTTCAATTCAGGTGTCTTTCCCCCCCACTTTTTTTTTTTTTTTTTTTTTTTTTCGGTTTTTCTCCGGTACCGGGAACCAAACTCACAACCTTGCGCTTGCCAGGCAGGCGCTTTGCCGCTGAGCTAAATCCCCAGACCCTCCCCCAACTTTTCTTACCTACTTTCTCTGATTAGAATTTCCAATACTCTACTGACTACAAGTAGTAAAAGTGGGCATCATTATCCTATTCCTGATTTAGAACTTTCAGTCTTTTACCTTGGAGTATGTTAGCTGGAGGTTTTCATATGTGGTCTCTACTCTGTATAGATAGTTTTCTTCTATTCCTAGTTTGTTGAGTTTTTCATAAAAAGGTGAATTTTGTCAAGTGCTTTTCTGTATCAAGTAAGATGATCATGTGTGGGTTTTCTGCATCATCTGTTAATGTAATGCATTACTTTTGATATTCTTATACTGAATTATTATCCTTGCATTCCAGAAATAAATCCTACTTTGTCATGGCACATAACTTTTTCCTATGCTGCTGAATTTGGTCAGTATTTTGTTGAGGTTTTTTGAATTTTTCATCAACTGTTCATAAATTTGTGGTTTCTTGGAGAGTCTCTATCTGGTTTTGATACCAGAGTAATGTTGGCCTGATAGAAAGCTAAGTAGAGCTCCCTCTTCAATATTTTTGGAAAAGTTTAAGAACTAGTGTTAGTTTTTCTTTAAATATTTGCTAGAATTCTCAGCAAAGCCACCAGGTGCAGTACTTTTCTTGGTCAAGAGAGTCCTAGTTACTAATTCAAGCATGTTCTAGCTACAAACTTACCTGGAATTTCTGTTTCTTCATGATTCAGTCTTTTTTGTTCATTTGTTTGTTTTGTTTTTTGTACCAGGAATTGAACTCAGGGCTTTGTGCTTGCCAGGCAGGCACTGTGCCACTGAGCTACATCCCTGGCTCATGATTCAGTCTTGATGAACTGTGTGTCTAGGAATCTATTTTTTCTGAGTTACCCATTTTGTTGGCGTATAACTCACAGTACTCTTACAATAATTTTTATTTCTGTACATTCAGCAGTAATATCCTCACTTTAATGTCTGATTTCAATAATTTGAGCTTCCTTAGTCAATTTAGCCAAAGGTTTATGAATTGTGGGAAACCTTAGAAGAAGCAATTTTAGGTTTCATTAATTTCCTCTATTATTTTTCAAATCTCTATTTCATTTAACTCTGCTCAAATGTCTACTATTGCTTTCTTTCTGCTAGTTTTTGGTTTAACTTGTTTTTCCTTTTCTATTTCTATAAGCTATAAAATTAGGTTGCTACCTGGAGATTTTTGTTTTGTTTTTTTGAGACAGGGTCTCACTGTGCAGTTCAGGCTGGCTTTGAACTTGCTATATAGCTGAGGGTGGCCTCAAACTTGTGGTGATCTTCCTGCTTTGGCCTCCAGAATGCTGGGATTACAGGTGTGTCCCACTGCACCCAGATATTTCTTTTTTTTTTTTTTTTCTTTTTTGGTTCCAGGAATTATTTTTTGTTTGTTTGTTTTCTGGTACCAGGAATTGAACTCACGCCCTTGTGCTTGCCAGGCAGGTGCTGCGCCGCTGAGCTAAATCCCCAGCCCCGGTTCCAGGAATTAAACTCAGGACCTTGCTCTTGCCAGGAAGGCACTGTACCACTGACCTATATCCCCAGCCCCAGATTTTTCGTTTTTAATTTAAGTGTTTCAGCTAAAAATTTCCCTCTAAACGCTTTTGCCACATCCCATAAGCTTTAGTACGTTCAGGTTTTGTTTTCCTTTGTCCCTAAGTATTTTCTAATTTTCTTTGTAGTTTCTTTTTTTACCTAC